TTAGGCAGATAGAGGTATTGTTTCTTAATATTTCTAATTATTTTTGGAGCAATTTAACCAAGGTCTCCAAACACCTGGTTCACAGATGCCTGTGTAGATAGACAGTGTGACGGGAGCTCTGCAGCTTTACTATTCCATGTCTTCTGCACAGTGGTCCCCACCTGCCTGCAGGACAAATTCTGCTAAATAGTCCTCAGCTCATCCTTTTTTTTTTAAAAGAAGGCATTCTGCATTTACTCAGCTGCCTAAAATACACTACTGTAATAGTATCAATTGATATCCTGACTTAAAGCAACTTCTTAGACCAACTAGAATCCATTTTTTTTCACACAGATTACAAGCTTGGTTGATATATTAGGTGCATTTTCACTATCTTTATCTGAATATGAAGGCAAAGATGAATACTGTGCAAAGTGTAATTTTTAGAGCTGTTTTGCTGAAGAAGCATCGTTTCATATCCTGGTAAATATGATGATAAATTTATGAACTTGTAAGGATCTTTATATACTATGGTTTGATAATTGTAATTATTTAATGTACTTTTAACAAATTTAAAAAGGAGTTATATGCCAGATTTTAAACAGTATGCATTTGGGAATAATCTCTGGGCATGAAATGTTTCTCATGGTGTTCCTCTGGGCTTGGTCTTCAGACTGACATGTTGCACCACCGATATATAAATATGCAGCCATTTGTATTTACATTTGCACATGGCACAGGAGGTGATGAAAAGACCACTCACGCAGATTGGTCTGGCTCGGTCACTAAATTGGATCCCAGTTAAAAAAAAAAAAAGTGTCTTAGTGCAGCCCGTGCAAGTTAAATGTAAGACAACACGATGAAGGCTGTACTTACCTGACAATAAATCAGAGACGGGTTCCTCTGAATTTGCCGGGCACTCTTGACCACGTGGGGGGCTGTCTTTCATTGGATCATGGAATCATTTAGGTTGGAAAAGACCCTTAAGATGACTGAGTCCAACCATTAAGTTGGCACTGCCAGGTCCACCACTAAACCACGTCCCTAAGCGCCACGTCTACATGTCCTTTAAATACCTCCAGGGATGGTGACTCCACCACTTCCCTGGGCAGCCTGTTCCAGTGCTTGACAGCCCTTCCAGTGAAAAAATTTTTCCTAATATCCAATCTAAACCAACCCTGGTGGAACTTGAAGCCATTTCCTCTTGTTACTTCAAAGAGATGGACCCCCACCTGGCTACAACCCCCCTTCAGGTAGTTGTAGAGAGCCATCATGTCTCCCCTCAGCCTCCTTTTCTCCAACAAACCCAGTTCCCTCAGCTGCTCCTCGTAAGACTTGTGCTCCAGACCCTTCACCAACTTGGTTGCCCTTCTCTGGACACGCTCCAGCACCTCCATGTCTTTCCTGCAGTGAGGGGCCCAAAACTGAACACAGGACTCGAGGGGCAGCCTCACCAGTGCCCAGTACAGGGGGACGAGGCAGGGGTTTGGTACTAACCCTGCACAGGGCATTTGTGATGCTGCCCTTCTGGAATGCAGCGATTTAGCATCTGTCGGGATCGTAGATGGTGCAGGAGAAAGCTTCAGGACTATTTAGAGTTAGATAGTTTAAAGAGAGCTAACAAATTTTAAATGGTTATTGAAGCCACAGGAATATTTAAATTTTATAAGGTAACCTTCGCTCCTAAACAAAAATAAAACAAATCAATAGCACATCTCCTGAGCCCAGGCTCCTAGTATGCTGGCAGTAGTGATTTATTTGCCAATGAGTGTGACCATTTTGAAATCAAGAAACACTCTGTAGTAAACATCTTACAAATTACCGACATTTTTGCACATAAACTGATGTGCTTTGTATCTAGTAATGGTAGTGGTGTGAAACAAAGAATACGTGTCAGAGAAAATGCAACACTGAAATTTGGCTTAATACAACTTTTTTGGACAACTTTCGATGCCTGACCAACATCTTTGCATGCCATTATCATTCCCAACTGCATATCCCTGTGTGCTCTACCTTCTTTTCTACGCCAACTGTCGTGCTGCTGACCACTGTTACTGCCCGTCTGGGCAGCATCTGTAACTGTGCAAAAGTAGTATTCTCCAACTGTGTACTGAAGGCAAAGCATAATTTTTTAAAGGCCTGGGAAAAACAGGATTGATCGAGGATGAAGATGTGCCTTCGTGCCTGTGAAGCACGTCGGCATGTGAAACGTGGGCATAGAGAGAAAAAGGGGAGGGGGGGCTGGTTGGCTGATTTTGTTTGTTCTTTTAACTAAGCCTGGAAGTGAGAAATACCCTACCTACCAAGAGGGATTTTAAAAAGCGGTTAGTTTAATCACTTACTTAATAGATCGCACTTTATTGCAATCGTGATTTAACAGGAAAGTTTTGCTATTCTGAAAGAGAACAGGTACTTTCTAATAAATTAGATGAAGCACATAATTTTATGTTAAATACAACTGAGATATACTTAAGATTATTTAAGGACATGGAGTTTGCAAACTTGAGTATATATAAAACTGAACTCTGTTAAGAGCATAACTGGGAAATAACAGGAAAATTTCCAGTATATGATCCTTAAACTGAGAGAACATTAGAGAGAACAAAATTGTGTCACCATATAATTAAAGACTGACAATGCACACAGACAATATTTAAGTTGGGGCTACATGTGGAATATTAATTCAGAAATTTGCTAACTTTTGAACGTCTCATTTTGCAATGTTAATAATGTTCATTTAGCATATATTATCTACTTTACAGTATCTTGGAAAGATGTAGTTGAAATTAGTTTAAATAGGTAAGTAGGACTTATAAATGATTGATGTACTTTTTTTCCTGTCTAAATGACATAATAGCAAATAACTGTGGGAGTATCTTGGATATATAAGCAGAATCACTCTCTCTGTCAGACCAAAACAATGCTTTTCCTGCTTTTATTTCAGTCACCAATATATTATATTAGGAATAGATATGAATATTCTGAAGCATTTGCTTTTCCAGATCCAGCAGAATTCTTTTTGTGTGGTTCTCTGAGTCCCAATTATTTTAAATTCCCAATTACATATCAAATTCGTGACCAGAGAAAATGTTAGTATTGCCAACTTAAATGCGTATTTTGCATTCTTTAGATGGTATGTACATAGCATTTCTTTTACTATGTCCTGCAACAGGGAATACTGACTTCTATTAGTCCATCTCATATACGACAAAGGTTTTTCTGTGTGTTGCTTTCTTACTAGAGAAAAATAAAAAGTGCACAAACATAGACAAATCCAATATGCACCGACCCTATATTCTATTAGAGCAGGCTGTTCTGCATGCATGTATAAAAATAATAATCAGTCATTAATAAACACTGAACGTTTGTAATGAAGGTCTGTTTCCAAGACCAACTCAGCCTGAGCAACTTCAGTGGATTGCTATGAGATCACATATCTCAGCTGCAGAAAGGCTAAATGGAAGTTTTAATGTGCTGCAAGCCAGCTGCATCAATGTAACTTACTCCCTCTAGTCAAGCAACATCAATTTCAGGAGCAGTTCTCCTCCTCACCCTTTTTTTTTTTTTTTAATATTATAAATTCTATTACAGAAGAACTGGAATTGGAAACATTGCTAATCAGTACCTTCCTTTTGAAGGCTAAGATTTTAAATTACTCCTGATCTATTACTGAATCTATTAGAAAAAAATCAGGTACCCTCATTCTAAAGCAGCACTTCCTTCTCTTCCCTTGGAAGGGGAAGGGATAAACTTCCTTTTGAAGTGTCTCTCTTCCCAGACACTAGTCTGAAATGAATTTGGCACTGGATCTCTACAAAGATGCGAGGCAAGTAGAGCAGTTATTGATGTATAAATGTGCAATAAAGGCTCTCCAAAACATGTAACCCTTCCACATCCCCAACCCCATGCAGCACAATTACGTACTTCAGCTGCCTCATGAGCCTCAACACCTTGAAAGAACAGCACAGGATTTTCTTTTTCTTAATTAATTAAAAGGACCATCTGATAGACTATGTAGCACACAATCCTAAATTAGGTTAGAGGATTAGTTTAGAGGATTTATCACGTGTAGTTTGCATGTATTCACAGAACTGAGAACAGAATTCTCATATTAAATGGGGTGTAATTTTTAAGGAGATCCATACTTAGTGTCAGAATCTGATGCCCAGTACATACTTAAACTGCCTTGTCTAATCCTTTCTGAATTCCCCTGCCAACATAACTAGATTTGTGCCACTGCTTCCACCAGCATCGTTAGTTCAGGGAATCCCAGGAGTGTTACCAGATCATTTTATACACTGCCAGTGTAATGGATTTATCAAACCACTGCAAGCCAACACGAGTTAGAGCAGAGCCAAGGACATCGGAAGTTATGCTGAGGGTGGATTTGGCCCTTCGCAGCATCACCATCCTGGGAAGCAGCAAGATGACTCGATGGTTTTAAAGCTCTAGTCAGCGGTACCCACTGGAGTTTTGCAAATCACCCGAGTATCTGGGCCAGTCTCCGCAAGTCAGTCACTGCACAAATGAATGGGACCACGAGTGCCACGGTGCTGACCAGCCACTGTGATTTTCCACATGCCTTTGTGTGACCATTTCTATCAAACTATCGAAGACGTGGGAAATGCTAGTACACTGATTCTGTAAATATATACATACTACCTTCTGTTTTGAATTTTACAAGATGTAATTAATTTACACAAAATAATTTTGATTTTTCTAGGACAAGGATAAATAAGACAAAAATGGATAGAAGGAATTTGCTCTTCCATATATTTTTGCGTAATGTCAGACAACATTAACATTAGCTTAAAACATCAGTTTTATTAGAGGATTTCAAAACATGTAGGCACAAGCCTGACTCAAGGAAAAACTGCTTGTGGTCATCTTTCAACTCGGTTTAACTTTAGGGTCACTGCCTCTGGAAACTGCAGTGAACTACGGCTTAAGATGGGTAACAAAGATTTCCAGGACAGAAAATACAAAGTTTAACTTAGTGCAAATGATATATAGCACCCTCCTGACGTGGTCACAGGCATCCAGAACTGTCAGACAACTAGAAGGCACTGGTATTGGAAAAATGTTGCCTAAAAAGTGCACTGAATCAATGCATCTGACTTCCAGGTTCTGTTAGAGGCAATTATTAACAACACAGGAGATACTAACATGTAAGGCTCATGTAAGGCTGTGAAATTTGGACTTCTTTGGTTGCCAGAAGAAAAGTTAGCCCAATACCAAGGGTTAACAGTCAAGATTCAATCAATGATGAGGCTTGTTTGGAAGCTAACTGTTAAAAACATTTAAGTAGAGAGCTGATATGCCTCCACCATAGTTTCGAGAGTTGCTAATAAAGCCTTCATCTGTTCTCCAGGGTAAAAAACCATGCTTGCAGATATTTCTTGAAGAAACTGTGGTAGCTTTTGAAAAGTTTCTAGCTCTCTAAAATATGTATCTACTAACCAATCTGCAGAAAATGTATTTTTCATTTCACAGTTATCACGAGCCATTACTTGAAGTACATTTGAACAAGCTACCTCTCTGAGAGTTAAAGTAAAGGGTAAAGACAGATTATAAACAGAACAAAAATTCAGCAGCATCTTATTAAATAAAAACAACCACAGTTCTCTCTGCTGACTGCAAAAATCTTGTTCTGTGCGTTCAGAGAAGCTTTCAATGTTTTCTTCTGGATGAACAATATTCAGAAGTTCTTGCTTTACTGGTATAGACTCAACATAATCCAGTGGCAATTCTCCATTGGAGTCCCTCTGCTGTAGAAGGACTGGTCCTGCAGGGAAAATACAAACATTAATAACAACAGCACATTCAATTTGGCAGCCTAACAAGATTTTGGTTTGTTTTTTGCCAGAAGCTAGGAGTCTGTTTAAATTCCTTTTTGTACTAAGTTATGTTGATGTAACTGATGAGTTACACATTTGGAATATAATCTAGAACATGTACAGAGACCCTTTGTAACAGTTTCTTTACGATACTGTCTTAATTTTCTTCCCAGTTTTGCTAGGTTGAAAGCCAAGGGTTATTATACAGAAAAGAAATTCAAACATTGCTTATCCTAAAATTTCAAGTAACAATATGTAAAGTATGTAAAAATGTAATGTTATTACTGTTGTAAAGTTCTATTAACTATTTTATAGACCAGGTTATTTGCCCAGACTCTACTCCAAATGACAGGCACGTTACTATGATTGTCTTTATTTTACTTTCCTGGATGGTGTGGCCAACCTTGTCCTAGGCGATGCAGCAAGGTAAACAATTGAGGTAGGAATCCTAGACTCCCCCAACAACTGAGTTTCAAAATTTTGTCTTAAGAGACTTCTGAAATACAACAAGTAATTACTCTAATAAATAGATTTAAAGTAAGTAAATGGCACATGTTTCACTGGTTCAGATTATACTACACTCTTTTGGTATTTCCTGTTTATTAGTACAATGGTACTATTAATATTCAAACCATTTACAGACATTTTGGTAATGCCACATCAGTAACATAGAATGAAGGCAGTTAACACACCACAGGTATTGATTTTCAAAGATGAACACATCAGGAATCTTATGTAAATTTGGGTTACCGTACTAAAGTAATGATGCCATTTTAACTTGAATACATTTTAATTACAAAAAAAAGGTAATTCACCACATTACATACCCATACTAGAGGTTTTAACTTTGCTGTGATTAAAGCTGCATTGTTTTACTCCATCACTGACTATGCGATATAATTAAATTTTGGAAGCTGAATGTTTTTTAGAGAAAGAAAGTGAAAAAAGTTTTTCCAGAGATGTGTTCTGAATTACTGAGCTGAGTAAATCCACACTGAATGGGTAACATGCTCTCTACCATAGTCTTGTCAGCTATTTGACAGGCCAAAACCCAGAGTGTGACAAAGGCAAAGATAAGGGTAGACACAGCCTTATAGTTGCCAGAAAACCTTGATGAATGCAGGTGCAAGTAGAGCTCTTCCCCTAGGACAACAGGATCATCCACTACCTATTCTTCACAATAGCCTAGGAAAAATGCACATCTGTCAGTGCAATGCCATTTCCAATTGAGGAGCTGGACTTACTACAATATTGGCTATTGCATCACTTAGACTGATTGAACTGAGCCCAGGTATTGGCTTGGCATGTCAGATACATGGTTCAGTAGATATATAAAACACCTGGGAGCCACAGAACTGAAGTGCAGCAAACACAGAGGTAGAACTGCAGAGGAATGTATTGATTATGAGCCGGTCCTTGCGCAACAGACACAGAAATAGCCTTTAGGGGGCAGGAGAAGACCATAAATACAGAGGGTCTTATGCCAAGAATGAAAGAACATTTTGTTTCTCTACCTTAATTAAGTAATAGGCCATCTAAATACAGTGCATTCTTCTGCCTCATGGCTATAAAGAGAATGATTTTTACTGAAAAAATTTGGACTCGGCATATAATGCACGGAGATTAAACTGACGCAGTAGGTCAATGGTAAGGATATCACAAATACTCATTTTAGTAAATGAATTAAAAGAAGGAAGAGTTGATATCCAAGACCATTCTTTGCAGTTGTTTTTTTTAAAAAAACCATGCTAAGTTAATTATATTGATACAGTATATTTCAAGACAAGATACAAGTTCCCTGTCACTGAACAAAAAATATTGTTCAAAACATTTATCGTGTGTCTGCCTAAGGGGCAATGTATCTTTTTTTAGAAACTAAGGCATCCCTCCCACTATTATCCCTAAACAGCAGTTATCACAATTACAATATAGATTCCTTTCTTAAACTAATTACCAAGCTAATTGTGTTCTTCAAAGACCATCACATTAATTTTCATAAATGCTGAACAAATTTATGTTGAAAAACATGATTATATAGAGATTTACTGATCTATTTTTGCATCATGGTAAAAATAGATCAAAACAAAAGACAATCCTTGGCTTTGCCTGGTGACTAGGTAATCTTTATCTTCATTAATGAGTTTGGAGAATATAGTTACAATGCATATGGTGTAAAATGCAGAATAAAAACATTACCATATTGGAAAAAAATGTGAAAATCCTGGTTAATTTCATATTCAGCTGATCAAGATAAGTGTGAAAACAGTATTATTTTTATTGTGACCAAAACAGCTTGGCTTAAAAATGTTTTAAAATAAATATTTCATAATAATATTGTATTTTAAGCAACTATTAAGAAAAACACCACGAACTTCATATGGACTCAGAACAGTGGATAATTTCCCTCAACCAGTTTAGCATAAATGCACTCACCCCCATGCTGAAGTAGCAGCTTGCCAATTTCTACATGTCCATTTGACAGTGCATCATGCAAAGGAGTCACCCCGTCCACTTGACTGAGCAGGTCTACCTCTGGACAACGTTGCAAAATTTCACGGACACACACTGTGCTGCCATGGTTACAGGCTTCATGCAAAGGCGTCCAGCCAGCATAGTCTGAATTATAAATCAAGGGAAGTTTTAAAACAGCAGAAGTAGTACTAAAATGTTAATAATGTAATTCATGAGACAGCAAAACACTTTATTTTTTACTATTCATCATGGCTGCAGTGGCAGCTTGTGATTTTAAGACAAGAAATTCTATTGAAAAACATATGAAAAAACTAAATAGCATTTTAAAAAATCAATAGAAAATGTGATGTTAAAACACAGTTGAGTTATAAATTAACCTTTCCTCAATGTTTGCAATAAAGTCCTCATTTTGTGTTGTTTAAAATAATAAAGACAGTCTTAATAGTATAAATATAAACTTTATTACCAAACAGATATTAATACAGTTCTTTATCTGGCTTAACTTCTTAGTTCTATAGAGAAAATGAGTAACTTACCTTTAGCATTAATGTCTGTTCCAGGGAAAGAGAGAAGCTGAATCAATCTCTCCACTTTGTTACTTATGCAAGCTTTATGCAGGGCTGTCTGTCCTACCATAAAAAATTAATAGATTACACTAGACTAGGCAAGACAGCAACTAAAGAAAATAATCAAAGTGCCTGGAACTAGGAGACCTGGCTATATGCCAGAAAATTCAATAATGAGTAAGATTTTCCTTTATCCTGTTTAACCATCTTTTAAGAAAATTCAAAAAAACCCACAGAGCTTCTGTTCCACCAGAGATCCAGCAATGAAATTGTATTGCAAACGGTTTAACACAGGAATTATCTCCCCCCAGTTCAAGGTTTAAAGCTTCAATCACACTATAAAAGCACCAAGTGATCACAGAACACCAAAAATACTGGGTTTTGAAGCAATAAAACTTTAGAGTGCAGTTGCCCTCCCTTAAATTTATTCATGAACCTACGTTAAAATGTATGGTTCTTTTTACACAGCATTTATAGCTTAATTCAAATGAATGTTTCTGGCTAAGCACGAGTGCCTCTACACACTCAAGTATAATTCAGAACTTCAAATCCGTTAACAGATGGTTTGCTGTTTCTCAATAGGCTGTCTGACTTGGCTACAGTAGCAAGGGAGGGGGGAAAGAGAGAGAAATAAATGAAGGGGTCCTAATAATAACAATAATTAAAAAAAGAAAATCCTCTGGAAGAAAAAAATCCCAAACATTAGTACCATATAAAGCTGAAGTAAGTGTGAAAAACTGAACAGCAAGCAAGTGAGAACTGCTGCTTATATGTAAAGGCACCATTAGTCTCTGCAAAACAAACTTCAGACCTATTCTAAACGCTGTTTTGCTTTCACTAAATGATTACGTTTGAACAAGAGCCAGAGGAAAATCTTGATGCCAGGTGAAAGATGATGCAACAAACATCTTAGAAATGAAAAATATCTTAGGCTAAATCTCTCAGCCTTTGCGATAAGATTTACATGGTATATTTTGTTATATTAATACCTTCACTATGTAAATCTGTCAGCTCCATACTCATTCTTTCAACAGAAGATACTACTTACAATTTTGGCAGAAGAAGAACAGAAAAAAACCCAGGTTTTTTTTTTTTTTTGCCCTAGTCCTTCAGCTCACTTTTCTTTGTAGAAGTCAGCATGTAATAATTCACATCAATTTTACTTGCAAAAGCAATAAAGAGAAAGGGAACCAATTTTAAAAATGCATGGTCTGGCTCTGTTACTGAAGCTCTCTTAAATCCCAAAAGAGGGTAAGGGTTTTTTTGTCCTTCAGTGTTTGTGATACAATTCTGGTTTTAATTTTTTGAACAATCCCAGCTTGCTTATGGCAGTTTATTCTAAGCCTCCCCTTGGGTGTCATATTAATATAGTTGTGTTTTAAGTGATATCGGTAAATTTCTGATGATGAAGATGACAAAAAGTAGTTCCAGCAGGTAATTCTGTTCAGGTAGAAGCTCATGTAAAGTATAACTTATTAAATTTGTGTAATAAGTAGGAACCGAATGAATTACTGCAGTGCTGTTTTATTCCTTAGGTACTTGGGTTCCAGTATAGCTAAGACAAAAGCCAAATGCCTTTCATAGTCTGGGCTGAATGCCTGGAAGAAAACAGTCCATATGCTTAACACAGCTATGTAACATAGCATACTCCTCAGTCTTTGTTCACAAAATGTCTAGGACTGAAAGAGATGAAGACTGAATTATACTTTCAAATCAGAAGACGTTGATCCTACCAAGCACAGGTTGAGGTGGATTAGCAAAGTAAGGCAGGCAAGACTGGAATGAGCTCACACAAGCTGTACACTGTATTTAATATCTGGGAGGGGGAGGGGAATGAAGAAGGCAGCTTTATTCCACCATATATACAATTCTTCCTTTCAAATAGACATCGGAAAAAAGAAACACAAACCATAAGAAAATAATTCTTGGGCATAAGCCATCATTTTAGTTCAGCATTCATCAGGACAAGGTTTTTAAATCCAAAACTGTCAATTCTAACCATATAAAGTTCTTAACATAAATTAGATATATAGAATACCTTTAGAATTTCTCTTGTAAATGTGTACCTCTTCAGCCAAAAGGTAGCCATTCTCATTTGTGTGTGCAGCCTGAACTTCTGCTTTTGCTCTAAGCCTCGTTGTCAATGGAGGGCACTTACTGTCACTGAAAAGAGAGCAAAGGGGACATGTCTAAAATCACTATTTCATCTTTTAAGATAATGTATATGTACTTAATGCTTTTAAATGTGTATGTACAGCATACTTATTTCTATCCATTGTCAGAGTTATTTCTGAAATGTCTTAATTACATAAATTCTATGTCATTTAATTACAACTGTATTTAAAACAGTAATAAAATTAAACTACCCACAATTAAACTTTCTTTAAAGGTAATTCTATGAACAGTTCAACTTCTCTATGTACCCTTTAAATTTAATATTGGGAAAATATAACTACATCAGCCTGCATATACACTGAGATGGAGGATGGAGAGAAATGGGGAACCCCAGCCCAGAGGTGTTACAGGTTTACAATGGAGCTTTCTGTCAGTTGCAGTAATTTGTAGACAACAAAACAGGTCATATAAAGTTCAAGAAATGTGTCAGGTCAGAAGCTGTCCCCCAAAGCAGAATAAAACTGGTGATGTTATAGGTATTACTTACGGTAGATCAGGCAGCACTTTGACTTGGTTCTGCTTATCGCCATTTAGCATCTGTAATGCCTTTTGAGACTCAGGGCATGGCCATTGCCCTATTTTATTTTTCTTTGCTTTGTGTATCTTTCTCGTCGCATGCATCCCTACCTCTTGCAAAGCCCGTGAATAGGAACAGACCTGTTGCAAAAGTAACATTTGCAATTACTTTGTATACAGTAAATTAAAATGCAGTCATTTTCTTTTGTTGCACTTCATGCAAAGCAGTCATCCACCACCCACAGTTTTTTGTATCTAAGTTTTTAAAAATATGATCCCTAAATGATTGGATACATAGATTGTTTAAAGTTGTCTTCTGCAATCTTTTTTTATGTTCTTATAATTTAGTTTTTATGCTGGCCTCAGAGGTGAGTGGGTTTGGTCTGATTCAGAAAGTGGGAAATTTCTAGACCTCTCTCTTCAGTTTTTGGTAGCTAAGAAAATTTTGATCACTTTAGCTGGACATAAGACTGAATTAAAGCTAATTGATTCTCAGGTACTTAATGTAAGTATTTACAAGCTTCCTGCTCCCAACACAGGGAGCAAAACCAAGGGAGCAATGTGGTAAAGAAATACTCACTCCCCTCCTTCATCTCTTCTAAGATGAGGGCTTGGATAAAGCCTTTGAGCATTGTGAAGGCAATAAGCTAGTTATCTCTTAGGTGATCTCTCATTATTAGGATAGCTTTGGACGTTGTAGATATTTTGGCTTCTTTCCAGTAATACAGAGCTTCCAACCCACCTATACCGCTCATTTTAAAAAGTCATATAAGTTTCTGCAGTTTGGCAAAAGCATAGGAAAAACTCCAGTGAGGGGACTCGTTCAATGATTACACTATGATTATATCTGAAGAAAAATATTAAAGAAGGCTTTGATTATCTAGCAGATCACTGTAGATTCTGCAGGCAACTTACAATGGGTGAGGGACACCTTACTTGCAGCTTCATTGTACATTTACCACCAGAGAGAAGCAGGTCACTATTTGAACCCATAGAAAAGCCTAGCTCGTAAGATGCTGTATGAGAAGAGCTGGGAAGATTGGACGAGAGTTAGTATTTATTGTATGGAACGAAAAAGGAGGCACAGTAATGCTAAGAAAAGCCACAAAAAGCACATGAACTTGTTTCAGGCACTACAAAAATTTACATTTAAGTAGTTCCAGAGAGTGATCAGTAGTCATGGCAATACTAAAAATAGCAATTGCTGCTGCATATGTGTTGGCAACATACGTTAAATATTAGATACATAGTTGGTTTATTTTTAAAATTCTGACAGTCTTTTGTTCCAGCTCTGTTTAAACACAATGTATCAATAAACAATTATGTCTGTTCACAATAAACTCCTGTAAAATTCAGGAAACCTTATGTATGGAAAATGTATAAAGGTGTAAATTTGTTTTTCTTTGACTCTACCTGCAGAATTTTAGGACATCCAGAAACAGTTGTGGATTCCATATTCTGTTTAGTTGTTAGTATTACGATTACTCATATGAGGCTCTAAGATAGGGCATGTCATTACTGTGTGATCTCCCTGATTTGCCTGCAACCTGCCAGCAGTCATGGTTTTGAGAATTTCTTTCACAGTTTTCATCATGTATTTCCTCACCAACTACCACAAATTGTGATTTGAAGGCAGGAAAAGGTTTGCAAGTAGGAGAAAGTTTTTAAGAGGCGAAATTCACAGGAATACACTGTGGTTCAAAATCATAAAATCTTGTATGTAACAAATGCTTGGACCCAGTAGAATTATAGACTGCCACCTCTTAAAAAAATCTGAAGGAAAAGATAACCCAGGGAAATCACACTATATTTGGCATTCTCCTTAATTACAAATGTAACATTGCAATAACATACTTACATCAGAGATTATTTTAAAAAGCTTTCATTGAGACTTTTCATGTTAACTGCATCTAAACAGATTAACCAGGTGTTACGAATTGTCTGGCAAGAAAAATTTTACCATTGTTTTGAACCCAGATCTTGGGCAAAGAGAAATTTAAATGCAGTAAAGTCTATCTACAGGTGGAAGACAATGCATGCAATGAGTATTATCTTAGACCACAAAAGAAAGGTATTTTCCAAGACTTTCATGAATCCAATTACTTGTAAAATACTTAAGTGTAAGAGGTTATTAAGGAGTAGAAGAGTTACTTACTATTTTCTGAAGAGAAAGAGGTTCTGTAGAAATAGGTACATTCCTCTGTAAACACGTTTTTTTAAAAACTGCTTCTGCGACAAACATTTGAAGCCAGAGGGATGGTATGGAACAAATGAACATTTTTAATTCACATATCGAAAAATCTGGATAAAAGCACAGGGGCGAAAAAAAGAGCCTTAAAATGATAATATAAAAACCTGTACATCTAGAGTTATCTAGAAGATAGCTCTTCCAGACATTTTTTTCCTGCTTTTGCAGATTCAGAAGCTATTCTCCACAAGAATTACTAAAAATACTTATATTAAAAAAGATTCTATCCATCATCTGATAATAAGACCAGTTTCTAAGAGAATGGTCAACAGATTTTAAAAGGCAAAGCACCACTTTTTATGTGAAACTTTAAAAAAACCCACTTTAAATACAATCTTATAATAGTTTGACCTTGATTTTGAGAATTAAATTATTTATTTGGGAAGTTATGCAAGTGGTCACTTTTAAAATCTCTAAGTGACATAATACAAACACAATTCAGATAAAATGGGTAACACATGAACAAAGAAATCTGCAAGTAATGTAGGGTGACCTATAAATGCTACATTAAAAGTGACTGTAAGCAAATTTCAGCCCCATTCAGATGCACCAAATAGTTCAGTTTAAAAAACGAAAACAAAACAGTGACAGAAGAATATATATCTGTATCTGTATCTATATCAATATGTATCAGGCATATGTCTGGCCTACCTCTCTTTTTTTTGGAAAAGGAGACAGAATGACTGATTTTTCTTAGGGTGATATTTGTATTTTGATTCTAGCAAAATAATTTTGTCAAAATAGCAACTGTAACAGGTGGAAAGCAAGGTCTGCCATGAGGAAGAAAGTATTTATTGAGGGAATATTCTGTTCTGCTAAGAAGTGCTCATACATCAACTGGTCTGTAGACTCAAATGAAACAGAAACACAAGTTTTGAGACTACAGAGTTTTTCTACTCTAAGAGCGACAGAATTTAGGAGAACTCTGCAACATTTTTTTGGGCTTTAAGTGCTGTAGACTGAACCAAGCAGCCGTGATCACCAATAGGTCAAAGAATCTTTACTCTTTATAATCAGATTGTGAATGTTGTTCTTGTGACTGCTCTCAATGGAGGACAGCATTGAAAGTGTAATTTTCCATTTGTGTACAGGAAAGTAAGAAAGTCTTACAGAAAGACATATCCAAGATTCTCCCTTATATGAAAGCTAGAAAATCCGTTGGAGAGGTGGCAATAGTAGTAGATATTAAAAGCTCCATTGATTTAAATACTATAAAGTTCCAACTGATTTGGCCTTCTAAGATTTAAGGCAGGCTAGAACAGTTCTGATAATTTGCTTTACATAAGACTAGGGTGGAACTATTTGTCTAGACATTAAGATTTTAGTTTAATCTTTTCAGCATAGTTCTTCTCAAGTGTCCAGGTAGAAGACAGATACACTTTAAATGAAGCCTACGTACACCTGTCAGTAGAGAAAATAATGACTGAAACCAGGATATCCATACAGGTGTAACAGCCGAGTTACAGTTTTCCCACTACTTCCTAATTGGGGGGAGGAGAGGAGGGGCAGGCTTTGGTGGGAATTAAGTTTGAAAATGTAATTAAAAACGTTCAGTAGTTTTCTTATTTTTTTGGTCTTTTGAGTTCCTCATCCCCTAGTTGCCTAAAGGACAGATACCTCAACCGACATTTCATGTGAAATGATAATGGTTCATTTGAGTCATGACATTTCTTTTTACCTAGTGTATTTAATGAAGAGGAACAATAGTGATTCAAGGGACTAGCTGGAATTTTCCCCCAGCCCCCAAATAAAATCCATTAAGTCTAAGGACTTGGAATGAGACACTGAAATGTTTCATTGAAGTCTGTATGGGTCAAAGAGTTCAGCATAGCTTTTGGACTTATGGCTGAAGTGTCTTTAGCAAACAAGATCAAGTTTGTGGAGTGAAAAATTTCACCTGAGAATTGGCCTGAGCTAAGGTGTGTCCAATTGCCTCTCTGAAGTTATGGCTTATTATATGCTTAAAGCTCTTCCTAAACTGACAAGAGAGCTCCAAAGATTTTTTTCTTCTTCACACTGTGTAGTCTTGCTTTCATATTAACACCTACTGAGATTTATTTAGAGATATTTTAGTAAGAAAGCCTGTTCTATTTGGTCTTCGCTTGAGACAGACAGACAGACAGACACATACACACAATAAAACAGTTTCTTGCATATGTACACATCACACCATAAGACTGCAGAGCTGCAACAGAAGGTAAAACACTTGAAAGTAAACCGAGGATTTCAGTTATGACTTTAGTGGATCTGATTAAAAGACTTTGAGAGGCCTTTCAAACACTTACCATCACATGAAATGGCAAGGTACTGTGCCAAATCACCAGCTATTTCATGAAACACGTTTCTGTCCATAAGCAAACTTGAGATGACCCAATATTCCACTACAGTTCCAAGAATTGCATTTAATAGACCAGCTATTTCACATCTGAAAGCCTAAATGAAAAGAAAAAAACAAACCAAACCAAAAGAATATCTATAGACCTGTAGCATGTAACAAATTCACACTGATAATGCACCAATAATAACACTAGAGAACTTCCTTAGATAAAAGCCCGCTCTGTTGCCACATCACCTCTTCACTGGCTTTTCTTCTGCTGCTCAAAAGCTAACTGTTGCAGCCAGGTCAACAAAATTAATATGCTATTGATGCCACATGAATTAACATTTGGCATTGCAGAAATAAAAGTTATTTGAAAACATGCAAAATGGGATCAAAGCTTACAAGTACGAAGTGTGATTTCTTTTTAAATTATTTTAACTGTAAGATTTCAACTACTGCATTTATGCTAGTTAACCTTGTGTTTAATTTGACAATTACAGGGATCTTATTTTACCTGCTTTATTACGACTCTTTCTTCCCAAAGATTTCATCATGATGTGAAAGCTCCTTTTGTGACTAACCATGTATGTCTGTGCCAAAAGGGAAAAGGATGCAAGGTGCTAGTTTCCTGCATAGAAAGAACTTTGGCAGCCAGTTTGTGGGATCAGGAAACGATCTTCTGCTACCAAAAATTCCAAAGAGACTAGCAGCGGCAAGTTTAAAAAGAACATACTTATGGGTATTAGCCTTACCTTTTTCTCCCCTGAACCTCCACAAAATGGTCATGTGTAGACAAAAAAGCCAAAGCGCATTTTGTTTGGAGGCACCAAGACAATATACAGCACTTTAACATGCTATCCAGAAAGTACTGTGAGATAGATGAAGATACTTGTTCATCCACATGAGTACTTCACTTCATCAGTAGTGGCTGGTTAAAGCACTGCTTCTAGTGTCTGAGTTAGTCTGTGCAAAGTCAAGTCAGATCCGTGTACTCAACACCCTTCTGTGCCATGTAAAAATACTTTATGCAATGATCCTGAAATAAGTTATTCCTCTGACCACATGTACAACCACAGAAAATTCAGTATTTGTATGTCAGTTTTGAAAGTGCAAATTGGAAGAATACCTGCACCACAGTAGGAACACATGCATTCATTTGCACAAAGACACCTACCTAAGGCTCTTCCAGAGAATCACTACTGTTACACTAGGGCACCGGGCAATACAATGCATTCTAGTGAAAGAGAATGAGTACTTCAGAATGGACAATTTTGGATAAGAGGGAAATTGAACTGAGTATGTACTTACTTATTTGTCAGCTTTAGATTTTATAGAATTACTTAAAGGAAACAAAACTTTTCTGTCTTTTTTTGTGGTCTCAGACCACAGTCAATGGTTTGTCTGATATTCCTTTGAGAATGAAATATATTCAAGGTTGGTTTAAAATAATTTAACAGGATTCCCTCAGAAGCTGGAAAACACCAAGGACTGAAACAGATTGAGCTTCAGCAATAAATCAGACAGACTATGTAAGAGTAACAGAGACTGTGACACAGGTAAGATTTATAATAAAAAGATTACAAAGTAATTTGTCGAAAACCCACATAAATACTGTCCCTACAGTTAATAGACTTACTTGTCATTCAAAAGAAAAGGAATAAACACAACTACAAATAAACATTGTATGAGGAGGCAGTATAATCTCCATCACTGAAGGCTTTTAAGAACTGGCCTGGCAAAATCTGTTAGGACAGATCTCTGAGATTGCTTCCAGCCCTACTTCCTCTTACTCCATTAAGCACTGCTTGATTTGGTTTGCCTCCTGCTTTACTGTATCATAGTACTTTACTGTAGATGAACTGTGGGATCCCATAATAACAAAAACCTGAGAACATTGATATGGCATGTCAAGAACATGAAAATATTTTTTTTCAACTAAAATTGAAGTATTTGAAAAGCTACATTACTTCCTACCTTCTGAAGATTCAGGAACAGAAACTGAAGAACTAATTTAAAACATCTAAAATGCATTTAAATTTCCCTTTAGTATGCACACTTCTTTTATCACTGGACCCCAAAGCAAAATACTGGGTGAATAAAGTAATTCCATCAATAGCTCTTTGCAGGAAATAAATTACACAAATGCAGTAAATAAGCACAATTTTAACAGAGGTTAAGTGACAGGATCAAGGACATATGAATGTAATATGAGGTAGATACAGATGCAAAGCACTAGTATTTCCATTCTTTTTCTTGTTTTTAAATCACAACGTTATATTACTTCACCTATGAAATATCTTCAAGGAAAGGGGTGGGGAGTGAAAGTTGACCTTGATGCAGCAGATTGAAATAATGACTGTTAATACTGCAAGTATTAATAATGTTTTGCAGTCAGATATATAGCTACATGTTAAATGTGGCTGATACATGAGTTGCAACTACGTTTGTTCAGCTAAGTATCTGCAACACTGACAAAGACAAACCAGATCCTTCCAACTGGTGTAGGCTTGGTTGACATTTTGGTAAAACAACGGTAGTACAAACCAAGAACTTCTCCTTAATATTTTGAAATAAATGGTTCAATTCTACAAATGAGAGGGAAATGCTCCAATTTACTGCAAGTATCATCTGTTCTAAAAACATTTAAATATTAACATCTTAAAAATATTTTCATTTTCAAGCACAAAACAATACAAACATAGTAATGAAAACACAACCAATATTAAAAAGGAAAAAGAAGGAAGCATTTGCATGAAACATGAGAATTGCTACCATGTATGACAGCACCAAGGCTTGTTCTTTTTCCTACTCTACCTCCCCAAGCAACTGGGCTGAGGGTGTGCAAGAAGTTGGGAGAGGGTACAGCCAGGACAGCTGACTCAAAATGACCAAAGGGATATTCCATGCCATATAAACATTGTGCTCAGCAATAAAAGCTGGGGAAAGGAGGAGGAAGGGGGGACATTCAGGGTTATGGTGTTTGCCTTGCCAAGTAACTGCTACATGTGATGAAGCCCTGCTTTCCAGGAAGCAGCTGGACATCTGCCTGATGATGGGAAGCACTGAATGAATTCCTTATTTTGCTTTGCTTGCTTTGCTGGTGCGCGCAGCTTTGCTTCACTGATTAAACTGTCTTTATCTGAACCCATGAGTGTTCGCCCTTCCAATTCTCTCCCTCATCCCGCTGTGGGGTGGGTGAGGGAGCGGCTGGGTGGGGACTTACCTGCCAGCTGGGGTCAACCTACTACACCATGCACAGCAAATTAAGTAAGATCCAGTTAAACCTTTTTTCAAAACTCTCTTGTTCTTATTGTTGAGAATCAAAGCTATCTCATGGAGCAAAGCATTGAAGTGGGAAGAGGCTGTTGACTGTGTTAGCATACAAAGGTCACATCAGTACAACTGATGTCTGCCAGCTTAGCAAATGCAATTCCTACATTGCTGTTCCATTTAATGCTCTGCCAAGTCAAGTACAGTGCTACAGTGACAGAAGTTTCACAGTGTGTTTTAGTACACATAAAAGTTCTTATACGAAAGCTTTTAAGTCATAGGAAAACTCATTTTAACTTTTCTACTTTGAATTACAGAGTTATTTTAGAGTTGTTCTTTAAAGTTCTTTTTCATGTGGTGTAAATGTTTTTAGAGTTATGCAGTACCCCAAAAGTGCCTAAAACATACTTCTGGGAAGCTGCTGGAAGTGCCAGATAAACCAAAAAGAAATTTAGTTCTACAAATTTACAGCACACAAATTTATAGCAGGTAAAGATACCTGAAACATGGAAGAAAACATGTTAGAAATATGCAAGATGATGCAACTAAAAAATGGAATTAATGCCTTTTTCACTCCTTTGTCAGGCTATGTAAGACAGCTTTTTTAAAAAAAACACGAGTACTATCAGGGATGAAAAGCATTTCCGATACCATTTGTGACATTGTGAAAAGCCACGCAATAGCTCAATGCTACTCAAAGTGTTATAAGCAATACACACATTCCTTTGTAAATTCTAAAACTGAATTAACAGCTTTGATTTAAGGAACCTTGACCAGGAGTTTCTGCATCAAACCTATTTAAATAATGTAATAAACAATAAATGTTATTTAAATTAAAATTATATTCAATATTGATTTGAAGATCTCAAGTGATGGAAAAACTTCTGTGTTCTTTGGCAGTACATTTTTAACTACAAGGATAGTGTATCAGTTTTATTTCACCTAGTTGTCCCAGCAGATTAACACAGTCATAAGCAAAGGCATCCAACTTCCTGTCACTAATTTTATTCTGGTACTTTTTAGATAAAGTAAATTATATCTAACACAAGAAAGCAAATGCACTTATATATGTAACTTAAATTTTTATAGCCCTTCATTCTTTCTTTTTCTTTTTATCTGATGTAGGTTATAACAGGTCTGAAAAGTGAAATACCTCCAGAGTATGTAAGCCAAAGAAACCAGTAACTCAGAATTTCAGCATGGATTTTCTCACTTAGAATACTGTAACTCTTTCTGGATTGCTCTTGTTACGCACACACACATAATATATATGTACACCCATATATATTAAAATCATAATTTTGCAACAAATCAGCAGTAGAGGAGAGGAAACATACACTGATATTTTCCCTCCACGTCAGTGCTGATTTGTTAGAATCTCTTTGAATTACAAAAAAAAGAATCTGATTCTAAAAAGCTGGAAAAAAAATGCCCACTTTCACCACTTAGAAAAGAATGTGTTGGATATGCTTAAAAGAAGAATTTAATTAAATTATTCATCTGGTTTTATTTACAGGTGTTTCCACTGGAAAACTGCATGGAAGTTCGGTATATCACAGTTGGCATGTTTATTTCTTCCCACGAGCTAACATGCTTGTGTAAGCTCAGAAACACGGTCACACCTTCACACTGTGCTATAAACCACTTAATTTCTGTGCCCATGCAGATAGTAAGAATACCCAAAGTAATTCCTTTCATTTGAGTTTCTAAATGGCCTTATATGTTTCTTGTCAATGTGTTGCCTCTTAAGCAAACAACTTTTAAAAAACAAAAGTGGTAACAATGACTCACACCCTTAAACTGAAGACAAGAAGTAAAATTTTGCATCCAATATGCCTTATTAAATGACATGGAAATACTGTGGGGTTTTTTATGTATCTCTAAAATAATAAAAAAAGAAGGAGAAAAGAAAACAGTTCTGCCTGGATAGCTAGGGAGGATCTGCTCCTTTGGCTTTCTTCATGACATTTTCAACTATGTCATGGAATTTTAAATGGAATCTCTGAATATGTGGAGAAATTAGTATATCAAGTTTTAGTGTAACAAAATTGAGAGTGCAGAAAAAAGGATAATGAAAAGTTTTCAATGTAAAAATATGGGGGGTTTTTTAGAGTTTATTTTTGCCAAAAAATGCAAAGGGAAAGAAAATGCAATATATAAATACGAAATTAAGGAATAAGGCTGTAAGAAAGAACATACAACAGTGCAGATACTATGAGGCAACAAGCTGCTTTTTAAGGCTAGAATTCATATCTGCAGGGATATTGTACATTACAGTGCATAAGATCAAAGTGGGAAAGCAATAGGCATCTGGGTTTTGTGCTGAAAGTACAATTTTTATATGTATGTATATAAAGAAAATAGAATCTAAACAAGAGGTAGGTCTCTGTGTTTTATGTTATGTTTTATTCTTTCTTTTAAGTTTATTTTTCATACGTGTACTACACTCTATCTGACACAAGTGATTATTCTGCTTATGCAAAGAATGGTTTATGAAAAAGATATGGCTTACAGTGCTGGAACTTGTCAAAGGAAGGCATAGTAGAAAAAAGAAAATGGTGCCTACACTTAAACTGCAGATTCAACACCAGGAAACATATGAAAGCAGTCTCATTTTCCAAAGAAACAGAATGGCCACTGACGGCAACTGAATGCATGCCTGCTTGGTGCTCAGTACCTTTGAAAAGGTAGGTTGTTTAAATATAAATATGGGTATAGAAGCCTAATTTTAGGCACTTTTTTAATATCTTGACCAAGGATAAAAGGCAGCACTGTTTCAGAATGTCTTGCTTTGATAGCCCTCAAAAAAGGTAGGAGGTCTGGCTAGGTAAGATGAGTGAAGCTCTCATTATGTTTAATCTTTCTGCTTTCTTAACATAATGAACTACTAGGTATTATATTGAAAGTGCTTTTTTCTCTGGAATACTTGATTTTCTATTGTTGTTCTGTTATTGTATTGAAAAAGTGAATGAAGTACCTATTTATTCTGTGCTTTCACAATAATTTAAAAGAGAACGCAGAGACAGCAGTAAGTTTGTATTTTATGTGAGAATGTAGAAGTCAAAGATGTTTTACAAGGCCTCTAGCTTCTGAAAAGAAAGAGGTGGTATAGAGGACACTCAGTATCTTTCAGGTCAATGTCCTGCTGGTCAGCAGGTCACAGAACAGCAATTAAGTTGCCTTCAATTCCATTTTTATGAAAAGACCTAGGGAAGATACCAAATGAAACTAAAGGACTTGGGAAGAAAACTGGGGCATTTATTAAAATTAAAAAAATGCATATCTGTAGAAAACAGCAAAAAACTATTAGTTTTGTTAGCTTTCTCCTTCCAACATTTCCTGAATACAATCACTGTAAAATAAGATAATCCCCTCTTTCGTTACACCTTATTGTTTGACAGGATGTATTAAGCTGGTGTCCCTAATGACTACAGTAATACCTGCTGGTAAGGGCATGTGAACATCTGAATGTAGCCAACAAGCTACTCATGACTCGTTTCTTCTCTACAGATCAATATGAGAATCTTATGGATCAATTCATTTCCTTTAGTGGAGCAAAAACCAGCATGCTTCACAACAAAAGGCAGCTATAACAAGCAGCTGTGATACTTACATATAATTCCTCACAAAGGAAGGAACAAAGGGAATGCCTTTAAGAAAAATATGTCGGTCTTCATTATTTTATAGTATAAAATACATACTCACATCATTTTTTCTGGTCGATTCTCTATGGGAAAGTATGACCCAATCTGCTAGAATATGTATGTGTTTGCTAAAAAGCACTGAGGTTTCGCTTCCTAGCCAAAAGGTCTCCAGAAGAACTGTCTGTGGCATGACTTGCTGATGCTGTGAATTGGTCCCTTCAACCAAACTGTAAAAAAAGAAAGTGAAAAAACCTAAATTTTTATGCCACTTTGATTACTATAGTTACCAGACAGAAACCTTGTCTTCTGTCAAAACACACACAGGTTTGGCAATTTTTAAGTATGGAAAGATCAGACACAATTTCTGATGAATAATAAGTAAAATAATGATGACTATTACAGTCAGACTGAAGGAATTCTAATATTGTGCTAATATTACATAAAGTAAAGGCTGCCTTTATGTAATATTGTGCTAATATTACATAAAGTAAAGGCTGCCTTTATGTATTGGGCTTGTGTGGCAAGGTTTTGGTAGCAGGGGGGCGACAGGGGTGGATTCTGTGAGAAGCTGCTAAAAGCTTCCCCCATGTCCAGTGGAGTCAAAGCCAGCCGGCTCTAAGACAGACCCGCTGCTGGCCAAGGCCGAGCCCATCAGCGATGGTGGCAACACATCTGTGATAACATATTTAAGAAGGGAAAAAAAGTTGCTGGGGCACAGAAACTGCAGAGAGACGAGTGAGAACACGTAAGAGAAACGACTCTGCAGACCCCAAGGTCAGTGAAGAAGAAGGGGGAGGAGATGCTCCAGGTGCCAGGGCAGAGATTCCCCTGCAGCCTGTGGGGAAGACCATGGTGAGGCAGGCTGTGCCCCTGGAGCCCAGGGAGGTCCATGGTGGAGCAGATCTCCACCTGCAGTCCGGAGAGGACCCCACGCCGGAGCAGGGGGATGCCCGAAGGAGGCTGTGACACCATGGCAAGCCTGCACTGGAGCAGGCTCCTGGCAGGAGCTGTGGCCCCGTGGAGAGAAGAGCCCACGCTGGAGCAGTTTTCTGGCAGGACTTGTGACCCTGTGGGGGACCCACGCTGGAGCAGTCTGTGCCTGAAGGACTGCAGCCCGTGGGAGGGACCCACACTGGAGGAGGTCGTTAAGGACTGCAGCCCGTGGGAAGGACCCACGACGGAGAAGTTCATGGAGGACTGTCTCCCGTGGAAGGGACCCCACACTGGAGCAGGGGGAGAGTGAGGAGTCCTCCCCCTGAGGAGGAAGGAGCAGCAGAGACAATGTATGGCAAGTTGACCCCAACCCCCATTCCCTGTCCCCCTGTGCCACTGGGAGGAAGGAGGTGGAGAAAATTGGGAGTGGAAACGAGGCGGGAAGAAGAGAGGGGTGGGAGGAAGGTGTTTTAAGATATGGTTTTATTTCTCATTACCCTACTCTGGTTGATTGGTAATAAATTGAGTTAATTTTCCCCAAGTTGAGTCTGTTTTGCCCGTGATGGTAATTGGTGAGTGATCTCTCCCTGTCCTTATCTTGACCCACGAGCCTTTCATTATATTTTCTCTCCCCTGTCCAGCTGAGGCAGGGAGTGATAGAGCGGCTTGGTGGGACACCCCAGCCGGGGTCAGCCCACCACACTTCACTATACAAAGGCAGAGCAAAGCCAAGACTTTTTTTATACTTCATAAATGAAGGAAAGATAATTGTCTCCCTAGCAAAAGATAACCGTTAATTAAATTATAGATTATATACAGAATTATATAATTATATACAGAAATGCATGTCGAACTGTGAAAAAATACTGAAGTATTAACCTGTAAAACCCACCTTTTTGTCAGAAACTCTACTTCAGCTTTTATTAACTCAAAGAAAAACTTCAATAATGTTTTGTGAACTATCCTCTGTTCATCTCCTCTCCCTGAAACTGAGACTGCATGACAAACGTTTTTGCAATAAAGGCAAGACCTGAAAAATAAACACCGAAAAATCCATTTGTATGACAGAAATCACAGTCGGATGTATTGGCAAAAGAGTCAGCTTTGACTTTTGACAATTTTGACAAGGAAATACCTTGCTCCCCAGCAACACTCATAATTTTAAAACCTAACTTTCTGGTTTTAATTTTTTTAAAAAAATACAGCTTTAACATGTTTGTGACTGTAATACAGTGTAATTTTGTATTACAGTGTAAACTAAATGATATAACCATATTTTTCTGTCTCTACTTGAGGTACTGTACAATTACTGAATTTAACAGAATTTCTTTAAAATCCTTTAATTAGAAGGTAGTCTTGTAATATCTTACAGATATTGTAAAATCGTACAAACCTTAGTTCAGCTAACAGTTCACACATACTATTTGAGAGGACTACAGTTTGTGATCAAGCCATATGATTGTCTATCACGATGGAGGTAATTTTGAAGTAAAGTGAGAACACATTTTTTTGGCTAGAATTTTGAGTACTGGAACCACCAGGTATACAACTGCTGGGTATTCATACTCTGCTAGTAAGTACTAAAAGATAAAATACTTCATTTACAAGATAAATTCTCTTCCATTCCCTATGACATGTTCCTAATAAAAACTATTAAATGTCCAATTACAGTGATTCAAGTACAGTGATTCAATGCCCTTCAAGACTATAGACATACTTACAATCATACACATTCATGTATCTGTAATCACGGTTGTATCAAAGTATTTAAATGTTACTTAAGATTTTATGACAGTAATAAGAAGAGGTACAGTTTCTCTTTCAAATTAAACGAAGAATAAATTTCTACTGATGTAAATTACAAAAAATGAGTTCTCAAGCTAAAGCATAGACTACCCAAACAGCTCCTATGTACTGAGTCTTGTATTTGTAGATGTATAGGATATAATCAGACTTCCTGAACAAGATGGCAAAGTTTATGATTAAAATCAAAATATAACATGAAGCTTCATGTTTGGTAAGATAAGATTGGAATTTGCTTTGTAACTGCAGATATGTATGTGCGTCTGTGCTTATATATATACATACACAACAGCAATAGTACGTAACTTATTATAATTTGTGGAAAGCTTAAAAAATAACATAAATAATTTTTAAAAAAGGAAGGAGGACAAGAAAATGTACATTTTTTTCCTTTCCAAAAAAACACCCTTTGCCTGTGAGCTGACACTTAGAGAAACATAAAGTGAAAGGTCCAAATCTGAGTTACAATTCTAGACTTTCACATACAGTTAACTTGTTCTGGTGAAAATGAGACTTCGATACAATAGAATTCCAACTGTCCTCCCCCATCCCTGAGTTTGGAGTAACATAACAACTATTGAATCTAACACCTCATTAAACTTTCCTACCTTACAAGCATCTCTAGCAAGGACCACGTGCCTTTCTTACAGACAGGACACTGAAGAATATCCAAATAATACTTTAACATAGATGGGGACTTCCAAGGAGGATCATGTTGGAGAACAAGGTACAAAACGTGATGAAGTTTAGCATGAAGTATTGCATTGGTATTTTCCTGTAATAAAATGAGAAAATAATATTGGCTCCATACTGGCCAAAGATCCATAATCACTAAGAGTTAATATATTTTCTTTATTCCTTACAATCCCAATTGACTAAATTTAATCAGTGAAGTAACATGCAAAATTCAGAGTTTACAAAAAAAGCAAGGAAACAAGGAGAGCTTGCTCTACTGTGATATTCCAGCTGAATGCACCACTGCTTAGAACAAACCTTCTCAAATGAGCTATCTGTGCCCTACCAAGTTAAAAGAACAGTCATATATGTGCTGTTTTTAAAAGCAAGAAAATTCTGGGTTAATTCTTCCACAATATTTAGAGCACTACATTCATACAGCTTGTAAATAAATACTAGCTTTAAAAAATCCTTCAGTATTGAATCCTTCCCTTTTAAAAATAAACATATTGATGAAGACAAAGTGAAGGGTGAATACATCACTAAAAACCACTAAATACAATGTCAGAAGCAGAGATCATGATACTTCCATTTCTTGCTTTAATATTTATAATACTTTAGTCTTCATTTCTCACCAATAGGACATATTCTAGCAGAGAATGAAGAAGTTGCATGGGAGGTTTACAGTACTTTTGACCAGCAGCAAGTTCTGTGATTACATCAGGAAATAAATACTCTTCCACTAATCCTTCAAGTATATGCCATCTGCCTTTGGACAGGTCAGTACACTTAACCTAGGAAAGAGATATCTTTGTAAGTAAAAGAACAGCTTAATTAAAAAAAAACCTTACAAGAACTGACAGGAAATCTTTAAGTAAAATGTTGGTAATATAGATAGTAGGTTTCAGAATGTGCTTCTCCTCTTAGAAGATCTGAATACATCTACGCTTTTAAAAAACAAATTTCTATTCACACACTCAATAACTTGTCTATAATTTATTCCAGAAAGGTACTCAAAGGAGTGTTAATATTTCCAAAAGTGCAGAGTACAGCCCACAGAATATGGCTAGAGCAGTAAGATAATTAGTACCACTGAACAGCTAAAAATATTAGAGAAAAATGTAAAATCATGAAATACATCATTTACGAGTACACATTGTAAAACCATAAACCATGTAACTGTTTTACCTCCCTAGTTCTCCTATTCCCATATAGCATGTCAGAGAAGCAGCTAATGCTACAGATAGCACAGGTATTGATCCCAGTGGACTTCAAACCTCTGAAGATCTTCTTAATGGCACAGGGCTTCCTTCTTATTCTCTGCCATTCATGACAGGAAAACACTTAACTTTGCAAGCTTTCAGAGGACCCAGAAGGATCTAATGGCTTTCATGAAATGCCGTACCTGCCCTGCAATTTCCCTGTTATTGCCTGTACTCCCAGCCTTCCAAACCTTTACTTCCACAGATTAATGATATGAAAGAGGAGCTATTGAAGATCTCAGCTACATTGCTATTTACATCTTTCCTCTAGTCCAGGTTCAAGCCAAAGCATAGACCAGTTGCAACTATATTGCTAATTGAAGTACAGCTTCCCTCTGCCTGACAACTTCTGCTTTGAAATCCAGCTATTTTGTTTGATCACACAGCCTGAGGCTCTGGCAAATTCAAAGAAACTGGGATAGGGAGTCACAACTGAGAGCAGCAGAGTCAGGAAGATCACTGACTGGACTGCTAGGAATTAAACAGTTACATAAATTTATTGTTGCTTTAGTCCCTGACAACTTGTAGACTTCATGATCTCTGCCAAAAAACTTGGCTCCTAATGTACATTAGCTAAAGCTACTCAAGATATCCTACCAATTGTTTTAAAATTAGTTTAAAATTTAACACAGACTTTGAGTTCAATTGTGGTTTTGAGGTCTACGGAGTACACTGCTATTGGCAAGATAGTTTCCAAAGATGTTTCAGTAATAAAAGAAAAACATTAGGAGCTCAGGTCAAACCTGAAAAAACTCTGAAAGAAATTATAATCATAATTAAATCACAGCTAAAGTCTCAGTCAATGAGCTCCACCTTAGCATTAGATATTTAGTTTCTCTGCAAATGTTTCATTTCTCAGATTCCTAATGTATTCCGTTGTTACATTAACAATAAAGCAAGCTGCTCATCTAGACAATTTTCTTTTAATCAAGTCTTTGTGCATCTGGCATTTGCAACTCACATTTATTTCAATTTTCTCATTCATATATGCACTATTAAAATCTTCACATTATTTCTTTTGGAAATAATGGTTGCATTCATACTTTTGTAATGTTAATTATATGCAAACAGCACATCTAAAGAGCAATCATAAACTGTTTAATGGCAGTCAAAGAACAACTTCTCTGTTGCCTGGATTTAAGATGTGTGAAGATGACTCAGTATATTGTGCATGTACAAGCATGTTTCTACTGGTGATCGTACCAGCATCCGTCTTTTTATATTGTGATTGAAACTTTTATCTCTTGAAAATTCTGATACTAGAAGAAACAGGAACATTGATGCATTATTTGGAAAGTACGCTGAAACAAAGCTGTTTTGGGAGAGGATAAGGCCTTTTGAATTACGTTCAAGATAAGGAGAAACTGGAGAACCAGTTTTCAGCTTATTTGTAAGGGGTAAGTAAGGATGATAGAAAAATGAGGTGATGAACTTTTTTCAGTATCAGGAGACACCTATTGCAGGGCCTTAATATCAGTAAACTGTACAAAACTGCATTGGCTCGCATTCTGATGAGGAACTAGCAGTCTCTTGTGATGCACTGCTGGTACAACCATTAAAACTTTGAGCAGAAACAAATGAAAAATGAAGGTCCACAGACAGTAAGTTCTGTTTATATAGCATAATGTGGAAGAGAAGCTGACAAAAGAGAAATAAATATTTTAGGGAAGATGCTAGATAGTTGAGTTAAGCCTTCCTAGGAGATGCAAAGAGAGATGACTGAATATAGTATGTAGTTCTAATCTGTTAATTTAGTTTGTAGGTTTTATTTTACTTCACTAGTATTATTGGAAATGTTTATTAGACGTGTCTTTAAAAGTCATAAATATACTGCCTATAAAAGTCCCATATCAGATGCAAATGCTAGCAATGGATATTTCACAAAGCAACAAAAGACAGCGGCAGGGCATGCATAAGAAAGTATTAGAATTAGGCTTAACATTTCCTGACAAAAAATTGTATTACGAGTACAGAATAACAATTTCAGCTTACAAGTGTTAAGAAAGCTAAAGGTTTTTTTCAAACGAATTAAATAAACTAAGCGTCAACATTAAATTTCAACACAAATCTCTTCACTAACAAAAATGCACACAGCATTTTGCCCATTAATGGTAGTGTTGGACAATGACAAAGGCATTTTAGTGCTCATGTTTTAAATATATTTTTCTCCTCCTTTCCTTATTGTGTCACTAGAAGAAATCAGATAAAAAGAAATTTCTGTGAAGCCTGAGAGCTCATTTCGTCAGACTGGAACCTCATTTATATATCAAGTAACTATTTATGTAGTAAGGCTCATGAAGATACCAAATCTTCACCTACCAAGAAATACAGGAAGCTAATAGATCATAGAATTATAGAATGGTTTGGGTTGGAAGGGACCTTAAAGATCATCTAGTTCCAGCCCCCCTGCCATAGGCAGGGACACCTTCCACTAGACCAGTTTGCTCAAAGCCCCATCCAACCTGGCCTTGATATTCTTTAAGTGTTTCCCATTTTAACTTTTAAGTAACACAAATTACCATATAAAGTATAGTAGCTTATAGTTACTATGTATAATGCTTTTTAAGTACTAAGAGGTAATGCTTCAACATTATTTAAAGATTTATTCTTAGTAGTATAGATAGAAAAGGGAAAATTTTGAAAGTATTTGTTTACTTAAGATGTAACAATGACTTAATAAAACCTGTTGCTGACCTGTACCTGATTTATGGCGTATATTTGGCTTAATGGGAAGAAAAATGAGATATTAACTAAATAGTATAAAAAAAGAAATTAAGTCAAAGTCATTATGAAAACTGGACTGGAAAAGATAATGTATTCTACTTGCAATCTGTGCTTCAGTAGACTCTGAAACCCGCATGATGATGTTTAAGGCTTATGGTGTAAGAACAACTACTGTTTCCTCCTATGGTGAGACAATTTTTAGCTGAAGTCTGTCCCTACTAGCAGAAACAGGTAAGCACTACAAGAAGTTTCTGTTTATCGCTACTGCATAAATACAGTGCTTGAATAATTTAAGATGCTCTGAATCATGTTAGGGCATTTTTGCTTCTTTTCTTTTAACATTAACTGGTAAAGTTCTCTTAACCAGCAGGATTAAAGAGTTTCTTTGTAATAGAGGGGACAGTACTGGAAGTATTGTAAGAACGAACGACATTCAACAATATACCAACAATGCTCTATAACTCTCAATAATTTTATTAGTTTTGGATAAGAAATATTTGAAAATGTTTCTTCTGTAACTAATTTCACTATGAAAATATGTTTGCCTAACTTAGTAATAAAATTCCATATATGCAACATGCCCTCTCTGTGAGAATCCTTACCTCTGGATTGCATTTATTCAGCTGGTCTTTTTGAGCAAACCTGTGCTTAACAGCCTGTAAAACAGGATAAAGTCAACCTGCACACTGGATACCAATAAACATATTCAATAAATACTGTATAACCCCCCCCCAAATGGCAACTTTGGTTAAACACTGTTCAAGCAAAACATTCAACGTAGCAATCTATTTATATTTTTTAGCAGTTGGATGGCAAAATTGTGAAACAGAGAATTAGTGACGTAAAAGGAAAATGATATGGGCAATTTTTCTCCCCATTTTTCCTATTATTGTCTGCTGCTTCTTTATGTGGTTGCTATGTAAGGACAGTTTTACTAGATTTGGTCCACTTAACCACATCGAAAAATATTAAGTGTTTTCAGTTTTTCTACGGCAAAATGAAAACTTTGGATTCCTCTTGCAAGTCACCTATAATGTGAAGATATGGCAGTCAGTGCAAAAATGTATTACTATTATTGCTATCTTTAGTTATGACCTGGTGTTACATTCTTACTAATACATGTGTCATGATTTCAGCTGGGATAGAGTTATTTTTCTTCCTAGTAGCTGGCATAGTGCTATGTTCTGGATTTAGGATGAGAAGAATGTTGATAACACACTGATGTTTTCAGTCGTTGCTAAGTAGTGTTTAGACTAAGTCAAGGAATTTTCAGCTTCTCATGTGCAGCCAGAAAGAAGGCTGAAGGGGCACAAGAAGTTGGGAGGGGACACAGCCAGGGCAGCTGAGCCAAACTGGCCAAAGGGGTATTCCATACCATGTGACAACATGCCCAGTATATAAACTGGGGGGAGTTGGTCTGGGGGGATTGCTGCTCTGGAACTAATTGGGCATTGGTTGGCAAGTGGTGAGCAATTGCATTGTGCATCACTTGTTTTGTATATTCTAATTCTTCTATTACATTATCTTCCTTTTCTGTCTTTTCAAACCATTTTTATCTCTTAACACAAGTTTTCTTTTTTTTTCCGATTCCCTCCCCCATCCCACTGGGTGGGGGGAGCGACCAAGCGGCTGGGTGGTGCTCAGTTAGTGGCTGGGGTTAAGCCATGACAACATATTACGAAAAAGGTCTTTTAGGAGACATTGTCTTTAGGATTACGATTACTCTATCTGCATGTAATTACATAATAGTTTAAAGGAAAGACAATCTGCTAAGAAGTGCACTTGTGTGTAGTATATGTGAAAAGTCAGCAACACATTTATTTTTTAAGGGTCTGGAAGATATAGCAAATGTCACTGATAAAAGATGTAGCATTTGAAGGTGTATAGATTTAAGCAGCATGAGCCTTCTATTTGTTAATCTTGTGTTTAACCACTGTGTACATTGAGGACTTTAAAACTCTAATTCTGTTGCTACTAAGAACTTACATTAATATACATAGAGGACCTGATTTTGCATTTACAAAATCATACAGTGCTTCATGTAATCAAGCTCCTACAAAAATACTTACACACTATCATCTGCACCACTGTAACTTACAGAGATAATATAGCCTAACTCAAAGTAATTGTTTTTTACAATTTTTTCAATTTACATTACTAATGTAGCACATTTATCAGGATTAGATATGTGACAACATTAAAACAAAGGAGTGCATTTAGCTCTATTTTTTACTTGTAATAAAAAACATTCATGTGAATCAACAAAATACTTGCTCTGAGATATGGTTAGTTTTAATGCTGTGTTAGTGTAATTCAGCTAGGTAACAGCAAAGTCACAGAAAGACTGTAATCCAAAGACATTTTGTTCAACAATATTAGCTACTAATCTTATATATTACGCCAAGAATTCAAGTAGCCCACCATGTCTTCCACACACCCATGCCTACCAATTACCACTACTAAATTATATTTTAACTAATGGTCGATGCAGTAAATATGTGATTACTAAACACTGCAGGTTGAAAAGCATTATTACTATTTCAAAAGATGTTAAAATATCTACTTTACTAGCTCAGTACTGTAATGAAAGATGAATTTAATAATATACAATTTACATTTTATGCTAAGAAAGCATTAACTGATTATTACTTACCGCAGCAAAATACATATGTTTTATAACAGCATTTTTCATTTCAGCAAGTTGTATGTTAGATATGTTTTGGTCTGTTTCTTGTGCAGCCAGGAAATGGTTCATTTGGATATCCTCAGTATTTTGTATTTCATTCTGTGCAGAGCAAAAAAAAAATACTTTTTTTAGTTTCAAAGCTAGTGCTCTAAACCAGCTTTTATGTGCCAAGCCTGTCTATACATTCTACTGCAAACCCTTGTGTGCATATGCATGCTTATGTAATTGTTCAAGGGTCTACATTACATGCCAGATAAACAGCTGGTGGTTTGGAAACAAACCACTGATCTTGTAGGAAGCTATAGCATAGGAATTATCAATGTAAGCTCCCCCGTAATTATTTTTCCTAACTGACTAACTCTGACCCAATCCCTGTGGCTGAAACAAGAGCTGTGTTTCCATAATGGATTCTTTCTTTGGACTTTTCAAAAACTAAAACCAAAGCCCATACCTTTTCAATTAGTCAAAAATGTAGTCTTTTCAGTTCTTGCCTATAAGCATGAACTAAAATAGTAATTTAAAATTTAAAAGTTCTTTTTTTAAAAAAGAATTTATTCTCTAAGCCCACCTATTGTTTCCAGCTATTTCTTCAGCAAAGGGAATGAGGAAGTATTTCTTAACTTGGTTTCCAACTCATTCTGAAAACAGTCTCAGAGAAGCCACAAGTTAATTTTTGTTAGTAAAAAATAACCACAAAAAATATTTAAAAGTTATTTCAGGATATGAGAACAATAAGTTTCAGTAAGAGTTTCAATGTATGCTTTTCATCAAAGATACATGTAGATACAGGTGAATTGTTCCCCTTGGTCACAGTACTGATGGCCATTTTTTATTGGGAGGTGTGAAGGGCTTGGGGTAGCTTGCCTTCTAATTCAAAAACCTAAATCTGATGAATGAATCAAGAATGGGAAATGTGGGAAATAACAGTAGGCAAAAAACCACAGTAGTGCATGTAATGACAAGATGCAAGCCATGAACAGTTTATACATTTAAGTTTTCAAGATAAAGTTTCAAACACCACACATTTCACCCTGTTTTCAAATTTTCCCTTAAATGTATAATTCAAACCAAAAGTATTTGGCATATGCATAGCTGTATTTCTAAACAAATACTGAGCTTGTTGCACATTACAGAAGAGAGTTTAGTATTTTTGGTAACTTGAAAAGAGCTCTAGATAGCTTTAGACAAGTCAGGGATAACGGAACTCTGATGCATTAACTAGTCTTTACTTCTTGTGGCACTTTCTGCATATTATTTTCAACACGCTTCTAAAAATACTTACATTCAAACAATTTATAGTACCATCTGGGCAAAATTTTATGAATTCCAGCATGTATCCAACAAAGCATTTAAGGTCTCTGTTTAAGTATGAGACTAGCTCCCTAAAATCATGCATGAGTTTTAATATCTTGAACCAATAAATTTGACACCTTGTAGGATCAAATCATTAATGACAATCCCTTAGAGTATTTTAACACTAGAGTTATGAGGTTGAGATTATAAGAACAGATTCTGAAATATAAAGATGAAGCAAAGAATTGGTTCAAAAAAAATCACAGCAAGAATAGTCTGAACATCAGGCAGTTCCACTGGGAAAAAGAATATAAAACTGTTTTGCTGAATTCAGCATCTGGACATATATGTGGGTGTTTAGAGGAAGAAGGGAGGTATTTATTTTTGCTAGAAACAGCAAACAACAGGACTACAAATTTACAAAGTTGGAATGTTCTAATGAATTATGTGCCAAGTACTTCTGGGAGGGAGAGAAAACAGCGTGTCCGTAACATTATTTGATAAAGCCTAATACATTTGGACAAGTGCTGCGATTTGATTGCCTATGTTTTATTCTTTTCCTTTTAAGAGACTAGGAGTCTTAGCAGTTTTCTGAGTTCTTTAGATGCATTTAAATAGAAAGCTAATGCTCTCTTGGCCTCTGAGGTGAGTTACTTTAATGAAATCTAAGAAAAAAAAAGATACATGCAAGTTAATGGACTGGTTAAGATGGAAACCTGTTATCACACCTGGGAGGAATCCAGGGTGCATAGCAAGAAACACTTTATTCTCATAGTGATCAATAAAAGGTGAGGTAGCCATAAAAACTTGACACTCATTCCTCTATTAAATGTAAATGTCTATCTTAGCTGAAAGGTGTAATAGAGAACAGTTTCCCTGAACAAGTTTCATTAAGAGAGTAAGCACTAGACTGAGATCCCATGTTGACGTGTTTTATTCATGGTGTAAACATTAAGACCTTTCAGGCCTCTTCTCACCCTTTTGTAACATCTTTACTGCTCATTAGAACAGGGAGAGCAAAGTATATGCTTTGATCTTGTGCTGGTTTTTGCTGGGACAGGGTTAATTTTCTTCCCAGTAGTTAGTATGGGGCTATGTTTTGGATTTGTGCTGGAAAGAGGATTGTTAACACAGAGATGTGTTAGTTATTGCTGAGCAGTGCTTGCACAGAGACAAGGCCTTTGCTGCTTCTCCCCCCACCCCACCAGCGAGCAGGCTGGGGGGGCACAAGGAGTTGGGAGGGGACACAGCCAGGACAGCTGACCCCGACTGACCCAAGGGATATCCCATGCCATAGGACATCATGCTCAGCATAGAAAGCTGGGGAAGAAGAAGAAGGAAGGGGGACGTTCGGAGTGATGGAGTTTGTCTTTCCAAGTCATGGTTAGGCATGATGGAGCCCTGCTTTCCTGGAGATGGCTGAACACCTGCCTGCCGATGGGACGATGGGAAGTGCTGAGTGAATTCCTTGTTTTGCTTTGCTTGCATGTCCGACTTTTGTTTTCCCTATTAAACTGTCTTTATCTCAACCCATGAGTTTTCTCACTGATACTACCCTTCCAATTCTCTCCCCAGTCCCACCACAGGGGAGTGAGCAGGCGGCTATGTGGGGCTTAGTTGCTAGCTGTGGTTAAACCATGACAGATCTGAAGAATCCAAAGGATTTTCAAATGAAGTAGGTTGTTTCTCAGAACAAAACACAGTTTTAGCTCCTACTTGCTTGCAAAGGTAGTATTTTCAATTAGCAGTTGACTAAAATTATGCCACAGTCTGAGGAGTTAGCAGACTAAAAGAATCTCCTGAGGCTCTTGAGTAGTTCCCAGGTCAAAATCCTAAGAAGTTCTGAACAGTGCATCTGGTAAGCAAACCACTATAAATCATGAGGCATCTCTCCCTCTCTCAAGGGAAACGGTAAGAAAAAATTCTAGTTCTAGTGAATTCTGCACGTACAAGAAAATTCACTGAACAGTGGAACGTCCTCTCACAGTTCAGATGGAAAGCTGGAAGAGAAACAAGCTGCTTTTCTTGCTCTGCCTTATCTTTTGCATCACTGTAAATTTAACTCCTGATCCAATTTTGGAGCTGAATGGGAAACCCAACACTCTGAACCATTTGATACTGCACTGCTGGATGCTTCATCTGGCTTAGCTCCATCTCTCTGGAATGATGATTTTTAGTGTAGCTTCTCTCTTCAAATGAGGTCCATCCAGGTCCTCAATTCTTAGTGGATCTGATGATGTACTTTCTCGTGTTCTAGTTTAGTTAACAGAAGAAAGCTATTACAGGGACTTTGGAGAATCCTCTTCTACTAACCAAGAAATACAGAGCTTGCCTTCTCAAGAATTTACCACTTTTGACTAGTAAAAGAGAAACAAGTTCTGTCATGAATGGCAACAGGTTTTCTAACATGGGAAGACACAAAGTTGCATCTAGTCTTTGCACATGTGAGCATCATGTGATTTGAGTTGTAAGGACTCATTAACTTTTCTGGAATGCCGACAATTACGTCCCTTCTGACTCCATGGATCAGAGTTCTGCAAATGGAGAAGCATTACAGTATATAAACTCTTGGTATATGAGACATTCTTAACAAGTCCTCTTGGCATGCTAATCTATTCTCATAGAGTTGCTGGTTGCTTACAGAAACCTTTCGTTTAATTTTGTCTACAATTATGGAATGATCTTTCTACAGTAATGGAGAGTTAAAGGTATGCTCAGATAGAAGTTCATACACCTATTTTAGGAAATTACAATTCTTGGAGCGTCAAGCTCAGTGCCTTGATTGAAAAGGGAATATAGGTGACCAGCTTACATTAGATCCCTAGCACAGAAATAGCCTAGGTGAATTTTCCCTGCCTGGCATACCGTTCCCTTACAAAACTCACGCTGCAACCACCCGTTCTTCCCAGCCATGAAGGATGGCTAGCAAACTGGATTTGGAGTTAAGAATCTGAATTTTAACAAAATAATCTACAGACTTTTACCACAGTCTACCTATAGCGTTATGAAAAAAAAAAATAGAATAATTCAGTTAACTTCTTTTGTCAACTGACTTCACGTTACACTGATCTTGAAGCATGGAGGCAACACTGCAATACTGTCAAACCCAGTAAAATATATATATATATTCCCATACGCAGGTAGACAGATAGATGCGATACCTACACACCTTTGAAATCCTTATCAAAATGAAGATAATATAAATGAAAAATAATTAACTTCTTTCTTGGTATTTTGTGAATAACTGTTTAGTTGATGGTCAACTATGCAGGAGCTTCCTCCTGCAGTCTAATTTTTCCAGTAATAGTAGCACAAAGCAGGAGCCAAGGAAGAACATGAAAAGGAAGAAGAAATAATGTATGCTCCCTTGGTGTTGTTTCTTCTGATCTGGAACAAAACACTGTTTTTGGAAAGACAATTTTTCTATTACAGAATCACAGAATGGCTGAAGTTGGAAGGGATGTCTGGAGATCATCACCAAATCCCCAGCCCAAGAAGGGCCACCTAGAGCCAGTTGCTCAGGACCATGCCTGGACAGCTTCTGAATATTGCCAAGGATGGAGACTCTACAGCCTCTTTGGGCAACCTGTTCCAGTGCCCCATCACTCTCACAGTAAAAAAAACAACACCCCCCCCCCCCCCCCAACACCACTTTCTT